TTCCAACACGATGTATGGGACCCATGTCCAACACGATGTATGGGACCCATTTCCAACACGATGTATGGGACACATGTCCACCACGATGTATGGGATCCATGTCCAACACGATGTATGAGACCCATTTCCAACACGATGTATGGGACACATGTCCACCACGATGTATGGGACCCATGTCCAACACGATGTATGGGACCCATTTCCAACACGATGTATGGGACACATGTCCAACCTGATGTACAGGATCCATGTCCAACACGATGCATGGGACACATGTCCAACACGATGCATGCGTCCCATGTCCAACACGATGTATGGGACCCATGTCCAACCTGATGTATGGGACACATGTCCAACACGATGCATGGAACCCATGTCCAACACGATGTATGGGACAAATGTCCAACACGATGCATGGGACCCATGTCCAACACGATGCATGCGTCCCATGTCCAACACGATGCATGCGTCCCATGTCCAACACGATGCATGGGACCCATGTCCAACACGATGCATGGGACCCATGTCCAACACGATGCATGGGACCCATGTCCAACACGATGCATGGGACCCATGTCCAACACGATGCATGGGACTCATGTCCAACACGATGCATGTGTCCCATGTCCAACACGATGCATGCGTCCCATGTCCAACACGATGCATGGGACCCATGTCCAACACGATGCATGCGACCCATGTGCAACACGATGTATGGGACCCATGTCCAACACGATGCATGGGATCCATGTCCAACACGATGCATGGGATCCATGTCCAACACGATGTATGGGACCCATGTCCAACACGATGCATGCGACCCATGTCCAACACGATGTATGGGATCCATGTCCAACACGATGCATGGGATCCATGTCCAACACGATGTATGGGATCCATGTCCAACACGATGTATGGGATCCATGTCCAACACGATGCATGGGACCCATGTCCAACACGATGCATGCGACCCATGTCCAACACGATGTATGGGACCCATGTCCAACACGATGCATGGGATCCATGTCCAACACGATGCATGGGACACATGTCCAACACGATGCATGCGTCCCATGTCCAACACGATGTATGGGACCCATGTCCAACCTGATGTATGGGACACATGTCCAACACGATGCATGGAACCCATGTCCAACACGATGCATGGAACCCATGTCCAACACGATGCATGGAACCCATGTCCAACACGATGTATGGGACCCATGTCCAACACAATGTATGGGACCCATGTCCAACACGATGCATAGGACCCATGTCCAACACGATGTATGGGTCGCATGTCTAACACGATGCATGAGACCCATGTCCAACACGATGCATGGGACCCATTTCCAATACGATGCATGGGTCGCATGTCCAACACGATGCATGGGACCCATTTCCAATACGATGCATGGGTCGCATGTCCAATACGATGCATTGGTCCCATGTCCAACACGATGCATGGGATCCATGTCCAACACGATGCATGGAACCCATGTCCAACACAAAGCATGGAACCCATGTCCAACACGATGCATGCTTCCCATGTCCAACACGATGCATGGAACCCATGTCCAACATGATGCATAGGACCCATGTCCAACACGATGTATGGGTCGCATGTCTAACACGATGCATGAGACCCACGCCAACACAATACATGAGACCCATGTCTAACACGATGCATGGGATCCATGTCCAACACGATGCATGGGACCCATGTCCAACACGATGTATGGACACATATCCAACACGATGCATGGAACCCATGTCCAACACGATGTATGGGACACATGTCCAACACGATGCATGCGATCCATGTCCAACACGATGCATGGAACTCATGTCCAACACGATGTATGGGACCCATGTCCAACCTGATGTATGGACCACATGTCCAACATAATGCATGGAACCCATGTCCAACATGATGTATGGGACCCATGTCCAACCTGATGTATGGGACCCATGTCCAACTCGGTGCATGGGACCCATGTCCAACACGATGTATGGGACCCATTTCCAACCTGATGTATGGGACCCATGTCCAACACGATGTATGGGACCCATGTCCAACACGATGTATGGACCCATTTCCAATACGATGCATGGGTCGCATGTCCAATACGATGCATTGGTCCCATGTCCAATACGGTGCATGGGTCCCATGTCCAATACGATGCATGGGACCCATGTCCAACACAATGTATGGGTCCCATGTCTAACACGATGCATGAGACCCATGTCCAACACGATGCATGGGATTCATGTCCAACACGATGCATGGGATCCATGTCTAACACGATGCATGGGACCCATGTCTAACACGATGCATGCTTCCCATGTCCAACACGATGTATGGGACCCATGTCCAACTCTGTGCATGGTACCCATTTCAAACACGATGTATGGGATCCATTTCCAACACGATGCATGGGACACATGTCCAACCTGATGTACAGAATCCATGTCCAACACGATGCATGGGACACATGTCCAACACGATGCATGCGTCCTATGTCCAACACGATGTATGGGACCCATGTCCAACCTGATGTATGGGACCCATGTCCAACTCTGTGCATGGTACCCATTTCAAACACGATGTATGGGATCCATTTCCAACACGATGCATGGGACACATGTCCAACCTGATGTACAGAATCCATGTCCAACACGATGCATGGGACACATGTCCAACACGATGCATGCGTCCCATGTCCAACACGATGTATGGGACCCATGTCCAACCTGATGTATGGGACACATGTCCAACACGATGCATGGAACCCATGTCCAACACGATGCATGGGACCCATGTCCAACACGATGCATGGGACACATGTCCAACACGATGCATGCGTCCCATGTCCAACACAATGCATGCGTCCCATGTCCAACACATGCATGCGTCCCATGTCCAACACGATGCATGGGATCCATGTCCAACACGATGCATGCGTCCCATGTCCAACACGATGCATGCGAACCATGTCCAACACGATGTATGGGACCCATGTCCAACACGATGTATGGGACACATGTCCAACACGATGTATGGGACCCATGTCCAACACGATGTATGGGACCCATGTCCAACCTGATGTATGGGACACATGTCCAACACGATGCATGGAACCCATGTCCAACACGATGTATGGGACCCATGTCCAACATAATGAATGGGACCCATGTCCAACACGATGCATAGGACCCATGTCCAACACGATGTATGGGTCCCATGTCTAACACGATGCATGAGACCCATGCCAACGCGATGCATGGGA